TGTAAATACAACTCATTTCATTTAAGGGTACAACACTCGTGATTCGGGGGTACAATTTTTCAATTGAAAAAAAAATGGTAGTGAAATTCAGAAATATTGAGATTCTGAAGTTCTGAAATCCTTCAGAGATTGTGAGATTCGGAAATTCTCAGACTCCGAAATTCTGAAGTTCCGAAATTCTCAGATTCCGAAGTTCTGAAATTCCAAAGTTCTGCAACGCTAAGAATTCTGAGATTTTCAAGCTCTGAAATTCAGGAATTCAGAAACTCCATCAGAAAAAATTGTACCCCCTAATCACGAGTGTTGTACCCCTGAATAAAATGAGTTGTACCTTCCGAATTTTTCGCCTGAAACAAGGGAGCCGATAAAATTTACAGTATTGTGGCACAACTGATATAATTTTCTTCGACTTCCAGAAAGCGTTTGACAAAGTTTCTCATTCTCTCTTACTTGAAAAGCTTGTCTCCTTTGGGATTCCCACACCATTCTGCAGATGGTTCAAAGACTTCCTATCCAACCGGACCTTCTCGGTAAAAGTAAACTCTCACATTGATCCCACTCGTCTCATCATTCCATCCGGTGTTCCCCAAGGATCGGTATCCGGTCCATAATTATTCCTAATTTTTCTCAATGACCTGCTCTTTTCGCTCCCTCCCTTCATCCATTTTTCGGTCTTCGCCGATGACATCAAAGTTTTTCATAATTCCCCCTCTATCATTCAAAAGTCCATTGACATCATTTATATCTGGTCCGTTAAGAATTCTCTCCCTCTTGCCACTTCCAAAACATCACTCCTTCGATTAGGCTCTCAAAATTCCCATCATAATTATACCATTGACGGCTCCTCTATTATCACGTCCTCCCATGTCAGAGATCTTGGCCTCATCACCGACCCGCTCCTTAAATTTGAACAACACATTCTCAAGAAAATCGCCCTTGCCATGCTCCAATCTCACCAACTACTTAGATCTTTCCGCTCCAACAATCCGCTATTCTACGCTGCGCTTTTCAAAACTTACGTGTTACCGATCATCGAATACTGTTCTGCTGTCTACTTTCCACCCCCTTCTTCCAAGCTTTCTCTTAAATTAGAACGACCTATCCGCCACTTCTCCAAAACAGTCCTCTAAAGATGTAACATCCCCTTCTCTTCCTATGAAAATCGTCTCAAAATCATAAACATGTTCTCCATCCGCCATCGTCGCCTCAAAGCACAACTTTATTTACTCTATAAATTAATTAGCGGTGCCTCTTATTTTCCCAATCTTGATTCACATGTTTCCATTTCCTCCTCCGCCCGTCACCCCATGTTACTTATATGCCATCACCCAAAAATCAACGACTATTTTTCTCAAACGATCCCAATTTGGAACGCTATTGTGAAGAATTGCCCCACCTTCTTACCACCCTCACAATTCCAAAAACTTCTTGAGATCTCGATTACCCGTTTCTGACTTGCCTCCATCCCTTTGATCTTGCCACTATCTCTCTTTTCCTTCCCCACATTAGGACTAACTCTTGCAGGTTAGTCCTTCTTAGCTTCGTTTTTATCATTTTCTTTCCCCGGTTACCGTCACTCCTTATTTCTTCAAATCCTTCGAGTAAACGAAATATATAAACTGTAAGACATGTATTGTACTGTAAGGCATGCATTGTGTTATAAAAGCCCCAGTATTCAAACACAGCAGCTTGTACCTTTCATATCAGTTGTGTCTTTGAAATCTGGGGAAAATATAGAAACTGTGTCATATCAACTAGACATATAGCAATTGTTCCTAACTATCAACTTGTCAGATCCCATCCTTTTATGTTCAACATCAGGCTTCTTGTTTGATAGCAGTTAATCTAGTAGCGACATACCACCGGTAGCAATTGATCACCGGTAGCAAATGATCCGGTAGCAAATGATCTGACAGCAAATGATTATTTGCCACGACTAACACCTGTTACCGTAAAACCTATAATAGAAGAGCACCCACACTATGATGTTTGAGTTTGATTATCTCAATTACTATGCAATATATTGGAAATGTCTCAACTGACAAAACACTTCTATTATGATTTTAACAGTTGACAACTTTTTAAATATCTTTCCCAGAAACCAAGATAACCTGACTTAAAAGTTAGGTTACCTTTTATTACAGACCTTACGGTAACATACAAAAAGCTAACAACTTCTACTGAAAATAATTTCAATCAAGCAAATATAAGACTGGAGAGATTCTCGAGTGGTCAGCAGACACCTCGTAGATTGCTCATACTGATAAACCCAGAAACTTTTGAACTCTGACGCCCTAAATGCCTTTTGCGTGGAATTTTTTGAAGAGCAACGTCAGAAAACAAAAAAAGAGGGGGTGGAACTTCGAGATTCTCGAGATTCAAAAAAGAATTACAAATTTTGAACGATGAGAGATTCGGGTACTGGAGAGATTTTATTTTGAAAAGTCAGAGATAATTGGTTGTCTATAAAGTCATAAATTTTATTTTCAAAGTTTTAGATTGCCGGGTTTTATCAGGGGTATGGTAATTGGATTCAAAAATAGGTGAATAGAAAAATGTATTAATGAAATGTAAATGAGAAAAATGCAAAGTGGTACTTTTAACTAAACAATTGATCATTTCTGTCTAGTCGAAATTATTCTCAAAAATAGCATACAACTTTGGGGATTTGCCAGAAGTTGACTGATTGTGACACTTCAATCATTTCGAAGCTCATCGTATACTATAATGTAGACGTGAGGAAAGGGCAAAAAGAAACATTTGCGAATCTCGGGGGAATTTGGGAAAACGACGAAAACGAAACGAAAACAGAAGGATAGACAAATGAGCAGTACAGAAAAAGGTAGTGGATGGGAAAAACGAACAACTTTTTTTCAAATTTTATGGTCTTGAAAACTTGTCGCTTTCCACGAAACAAAACGAAATTTTCTAGAATGAGGTTTGTCAAAAAATACAGAAGAATTTGGGCAGTGGATTTCAGAGGGATCAGTCAGTCTCAAAAACTTTGAAAAATCGCGGGCAAAAGTGTGCTTGATTGATCACTTTCCTGTTTCCTTTTTTGTGTTTTTTTTGGTTTTTCTCAGAAAGATTAGCTTCCTTTTTTCTCCTTGCTTATGTATGGTGCATTTTTTCTGTCGAAGACAATTTGGGAGGCTATTCAACAAAGAGGAAGTCTGTTGACAAAATAAAAGGAAAGAGAAAAAAGAAAAGCGCATCCAAAATGCACCCAAAAAATCCCGTTTTAGAATGTTTTAGGTTCTGAGATAAAGAAAAAAGAGAGAGGAAGGACAAGCTTTTTCAGCGACACATCTCTTAAATTATTGATGATGAAAAGGACATTCGGGACCTATAATGGGCAGTTTCATGATCGACTCATTTCGTTTAATGGAATGTTGTTTTGGGTCAAGTTTTGGAACAAAAAATGATTGGGGGATTGTTTGAAAAAGGATATTAAAACGAAAGTGACTATCATTCTTGTACAGAAAAATCAGAAAGGTCCGACAATGACAACTACAGTAACCTAAAAAAAATTATATATTCAGGACGTATTTAGGTTACGGTAGTTGTCATTGTGGAACCAGCAACATTTTATCAGTTAACCACTTTTTGATATCTCTCACACAAAATGAGATACACGGGCTAAAATTTGACGATTTGGGTGGCATTCTATTAGAGTGTTTACGGTATATAGAATTTGGGTTTACTGAAAGAATATTATTTTTCTCATAATAATCTGTCTCCATAGAAATTCAGAATATATTAAAATTCGTAACACTGTACTTTTTGAAAGCTCCAGATCAAACTACATTAACACCAAATTTCACAATTTACATTCAAAAGTTACATCATTTCATACGGAGCCTTAGTTTTCTGATTTCAAAAAAATCACAGAAAATTGAATATGCAATCTGCTATCCTGGGATAAAAAAAGGTATTAGAAACAAAAAGAATATTGTCATACAACTGAAATGCACCTCATTTTTCATAACATTTATGCAGGTAACTAATCTCTCAACTCATCAAAAATCAAACGTGAGCAAATGCAATTAATATCAAATGTCTTCTTCTTCTTCTTCTTTTTTCTGAAATTAGATCTGAAAATGTGTGGGTTAGAGGTAATTTGGCACTGATTGCAGTTTCAGATTTCTAGGAGAATGTGACACTCACACAAGTGGAAAATATAACATGAAGAAGAAACATCGAGGTACCGAAGGATCAGAAACGGAAAAAATAAATCTGGTTAAAAGGAAAAAATAAGAAATATTTGAAAGGAGGGTAAGTAAGGAATTCAGTTTCTCCATTGTCATTATGTGTCATGGAGCAGGTCTCTGGGGGTATAGCTCAAAAACTGAAAACAAATAAGAAAAGTATTTGGAGTAGAAATAAAAGTAACACTGGTCCCATAGTCTCTGCGTTTCCACTCTGAATCACTATATCTCTTTATTGGAATTGAAAAGGAAAAAGAGCATAAAGTTTTATGTGGAGTAGGAGTGAAAGGAAAAAAGAGACCGGCTGAAGACGGATATAGGATGAAGGAAGTAAACGAAGGAATACGAAAAGGAAGAAAAAAGGATGTTGATTAGGTAATGAGGACTGGAAATCGGTAATGAATGAATCAAACATTCTTTGGGCATTTGCACTTTTCGAATTACCCGGTTCTAAATTTGACGAAGAATTTGACATCGAGCCTACGGTAGACAGAATGTCCATATTCTTGCCACACCAGAAAGGGCACCGTGTACCAACAGCCTCGAAAATACGAAATTTTTGATGCAGCTCTACACAGCGATTAACATTGGAAATTGGTTCTTGAGACCTCCGAATGAGCCGGAAGCTTGCTTCGAGGCCATTCGTTGAGACTGAAGATTTCTGAATTTCGAAAAATATTTTTAGGTTCTCACCAACAAATCACAGTTCGATTTATTCACCACAAAAGTAATTTGAAATAATCGATTAAAAAATTCAAGAAAAATTGTAATAATCGGATTTTATTCGGAAATTTATATCAAAGGAAGAAAGGATATTATTGAACTAACTCGGCCCATTGGTTCGTGGCCAGATGCATCAGACAGTCCAGTTTTTTTTTGAATTGTTTTCAATGACACCTGAAAATTAATAAAACACGTTTCAAACTTTTAAAAGTGCTTCTCATACCTCGTCTTCGCCTCCTTCGAGCTTCCAAGCCTCTTCGTCGAGCATTTTCTGAGCATAACCCATTTCATCTGCTCCCAATAGATCAATCAAAGCTGTTTTCATCATTTTCAACAAAGTCAGCAACTTCATTGACTTCTTATGCGCCTTTTGAGGATTTTCTCTTTTCAAACTCTGAAGAATCATATCATACAATCGAATGAAGACGTCAGTCGGAATTCTCTGGAATTTGAAACTTTTTTCGTTTCGAAAAAAAATCATTCTAACCTGATCTCTTTTTTCGAAAATAAAGACAGCTCTCAAGCATTTTTGATGAAATCCCGCATCCAGTTCATAATTGAAAGCAAAACTATTTTTCCAGAATCTCCATAGCTACCTCTTCCAGATCCAGTTGCATGGGCTGAAAGTTATTTCATTCTGATGACTCACTCATCATCCTTTTTTCCTTTGAAGTACTTGAGATTCTTTGAGTGGTTCGATTGGTAAGCAGTTCCATCAGGAGACAAGAAAAAGGTAACCTTATTTGAACTGTTCAATTTAACAAGGAATTTCGCATCTTGCAGTCTGAAATTATTCAATTTATTATTAAATTTTTCGTAGGAATCAACGTACTCTTTCATAAAATCCTTAATCACTCGTACACTAAAAAGAAAAAGGAGTCGAACTTTCTCAGATAACGAAAATCCTTGAAGATCTTCAATGTTTTCCAATTTTCTTCGGATGCTAAATAGAAAATTGATTTTCAATTCTATGAATTATCGAATATGATAAACTTACAGAACATATAGAGAGTGAGCCCTTGAAGTATATCCGATTTCCTTTCTAGCCACCAGGCACCATTTTTCTAAGTTTTCTGGGAGAGAGTAGTCTTTGACGCGCTCCCAAATGAACTTGATTGCCATTCCACAGAAATCTTGGTCTCTCGGTTTTTTTTTGTCTGAAATCAATAATATGAAAGTTTAGTGGAAGGTCCGGGCCGGGCCGGGCCTTGAAAAATTTTGAGGGCACAGCCCGGCCCGGAAGGCCCGGACAGATATTTTTCTGGTCGAAATTTATAAAAAAAATTTTTTTTGATAAGTTTTTGAGAATTTCTTTACACAAAAAATGTGTTTCTGTGAAAAATACTTTCTTTCGCTTCAAAAATGTAATTTTTAGTCCGATCCCCAACTTTGGAAAAAGTAAAAAAAATTATTTTTCAAAAATTTGTTTAATGATTTACAAATTCAATATTCACAATTTAGATTAAAATTAGATGATAAAAAGAACTTTATTCCAAAAAAAACCAATTTTGTCTAAATCATAGCTGGCGCCAACTGGCCGGGCCTGNAAAATGAAAAAATCTCAAGTATTTTAGGGTACAAATTTGAACTTTTTTCGTTGGAAATTGTTGCAATAGTCTCAAAATAGCCTACTGAGGGTTGTTATGCTGTTTTGAGCCATTGTTTGTAATTCAAGATGGATTGAAATTTCCAAAATTGACATTGAGTTCGGTGATTCTGATTAAAATCATTACTAGTGGTGATAGAGGGGTATCGTAAGATTACAATAAGCGACAAGTCAAGTGGGTTGACAAAGGCGCTCAACCACCAGACGTCCCGACACAGGAAATTTGT